GAGGAGCCTTGTTGAAAGCAATTTATCATTCAATAATAACAGCTTGGTACGCAAAAGAAAAAAACATTGTCTTCAAAATTGTTAAACATTGCAAGAAAGGTGAGGGCAAGTCCAAAAACAACTTGAACAGTGCTGTCACAGGATACGATAAACCTCTAAAGCCACTATACTCAGGTCTTACTGCTGTCCATCTGGCCGTCAATTCAGGGCCCAAGGACCAAGTTTTTATTTCTCTATGCCTATAGCACTGAACCACAACATGATGCAACCTAGGAACACTTGTTAATCATCTTTTTTCTCGTTTTTTCATTCATCTGGCTCTGACAAATACAGGCTAAACAATGGTCATGAGAAAACCTGCCGTCTGTAAGGTTAATTAAGAGCACATTTTACAGGACTGTCCTCTCCTGATGCTTTCAATTTGTTCTGATCGAATTGTAGCTGCTTCCCACACAGATATATCTGGTAATATTTTTTTATAGTCAAGAATTGTTAGAGCTACTCATTCCAAATGAAAATATTCACTTGGTTGTATTTGACTTTGGTTGCGCTGAATCCAGCAAACATGTTTTATGTTTATTTTACTAGTAATTTAAAACAATATGTGGTCGGTGGTATTGAAATAATTTTATTTCAAGTGATTAACAGCTGTGATTGAAACAGTTGTAGTTAGAGGTGGAGGAAGAGGGGTCTGTCTGGATCTTTGGTGCAAGGTCAGACTTCAAACATGACCTGATAGTCTTCATAGATTTGATAGGTGCAGTGTCTTCTAGTGTGATTCCTCCACTGTAATTTCTTCTTAACAGCCATCTGATGAGACTCTGGTTCCCAGTACAAAATGATTTCTGTGATTTACTCTTTACGTGATCCCTGGTGGGCTCCACTGTGAGAGAGAGATGACAATCTCCTTCACATCATTCCAATAATCAAGAATTGATGGAAGGATACAAACTGTGTGGCCATGGCAACATCTCGTCGTCTACTATATATGGATCCGTCAGCGTTTAGTCGCTTCAGTGGCACTAATTAACAAATACTGGAGAGAAAGAGGAAGCAAGCAAGCCAGAATGGACATAGGCAACAAGGATGAGAAGAAGAGACAAGCATTTCCCACTGCCTCACTTTATCTGGTTGAACATGAGTCTGTAGAATTAAGACAGTTTCTCAATACATGGTTTTGAATTTATGTAAAAATATTGTCAGTGGTTTTCATACAGCTTATAAAAAAACTGACATGCACGTTATATCCTTTTAATATCTCAGCTGTGGATTCTGAACTGTACAACATGGTGGATGTGTTGACTGAAGTGCAGAAAGAACCAGACTTTTATTTAAACAGGTTCATAATTCAAATTTTTGTATCTGATCATATTTAACTAAAGCCTGATTGTTTTGTGATTTGCTGTTGATACAAACGGAACAGTTCCTCCATGTTTTTCCTGTTGTCTCCATAAATTCAATAAACATGTCCATAATACTGACTCCATTAGTATGATGTTACCATAAACCACTCTGCTGCTCTGAGCATCTTTTTTTTTTTAACAACAACACTTCTGTCAGTCACTTTTCACTTCCTATTGCTCGTACTTTTTACCTTTTACCTGTCATGTCACTTCAGTGGAATTTAAACTTAAGTACACACTGATTGACAAAATGTAGTAAACACCATTGGCAGCACTGGAATGATCTGAAAATAAAAGTGTATTATTTCAAGTATACCAGATCATTTCAATAACAGGCCTTTAATGGAACAAAATTCTCTCCTAGTTGAATAAGGCCTTTCACAGAGAATCTACTGTAACTTGGTCAACTCACACATTCAATTATTGGACTACGTGTGATAAGGTATATGGTGTTGGAGGTGAGGGGTAGAATCAGCTGCTTGTCAGTAGGGGTGTAACTGTCCACAGAAGACACAGGTTCGGTACGTACCTCAGTTTTGGGGTCACGGTTCGATACACGGGAAAAAGCAACAAAATGCATGAATCTAGTTTTCTTTTCATTTATTTTGTAACACAGTAGTGCAAGTTACAGTTTGTTCCACCTAGTGTCATTTAGAAACTACTTGAGATAGTTAGTGCAGCCTGTAGTATATTAAACAGTGAACAAAATATACTCTCTCACATAAGTTAATATATTTTTTATGTGGTGCTTATAAAAACAAAAGGCACAGGTCCCAATCACCTACAAAAACTGAAAAGCATCTGTTATAAAAGTAAAACATAAATAGAAAAATTAAAAAAACTTGTGCATTAGGAGTGTTATATAGTGTGTTATATATATATATATATATATCTATATCTCTATATATATATATATAAGATCAATGAATCAACACGAGCGGTGATTGAGCAATATAGTTGCTATAATATACATAACTATTTATATATACATATATATATACACTATATATATATAATATATATACATATAATATATATACATATATTACATATATATTATACATATATATACTATATATATATACAACATATATATACATATACATATATATATACACATATATATATACACACATATATATATATACACATATAATATAACACATATATATAATATATACACATATATATATATATATAACACCATATATATATATATATATAATATACAACTATATAATATATATAATATATACTATATATATATATTACACATATATATATATAATATATATAACCACATATATATATATATATTACAACATATATATTATATATATACACACAATATATATATATATATATACAACATATTATATTAAACACATATATATATATTACCATATATATAATATATATACACATATATATATATATATATACATACACATATTATATATATATATTATATACACATATATATATTATATCATATATATACACTATTATATATATCATATATATACATATAGTATATATATATATATATACACGAATATATATATATATATAATATATATATATATACCATATATATATATAATTATATATATCATCAAGGCTGTACCGCGCTTGTGTAACCTGTAAAATGCCGGACAACGGAATGGTTATGCACAATGGGACATTGTAACGAGGCTTGAGCACTTGATTAATAACTTGACTTGACTAATTGAATCTACAACTGCATATGGGCTCATAGTCATTGAAATAAATAATGCCAATAGCTTTGGCCCCACATCTAGAGGCTCTTAAAAACAAAAAGGTTAGACTCCTGTTTTCTTTTGCCTAGCTCCAGTGATGGCACATCTGAGTGATGACGTCTAATATGCATTAGCATGTATGGCGTGTTTCCACTGACACACAGCTGTTGAACAACGCCGACACACCATCCACGTCTGATCCACAATCGCACTCCATTGTTGTTGTAATCCACAGGGAACCCGAAATATTCCTGCACAGATAATTTAAAAGAAGCAGACAGGTCTCCTAGCTTCCTGTGTGTCATCTGAACTTTCCATAGTTACTCTTCTTCTTCTTGTGTTTGTTGCGTTTTTCTTGTTCTTCTGCATTGTTTCTTTAATGGCGATTGGCAGTTTTTAGTTGCATAACGCTGCATGGACTGGAAATGTGGATGCTGCCGATGTGTGACTGACTTTTTTCCATTCAGACATATTCGTTGTATGACTGCATGCACTGAACCATGATGTCCGTATCATGACGGTTCAGGATGAATACACATACCATTATAATCCCTAGAAAATAAAAAATACATGCTGCACTCCTCAGGACCAAAGTCGGGCTCCTGTGTCTTGCTTGCCACACTACAGTTTGAAGTAAGGTGGGTTAGCCCTGAAGTTTGGAACAACTTCTGCCCTGGAGCAGCACATAAGTCTCCCCTGTGCTTCCCAACCCACAGTCTGGGAGCTGAAGCAGGAAAGGTTAACAATAACTACATGCATGCTATTCTTGCCATCACCTTCAAATCTGTTATCTGTTCCCTTCTCTCCTCCTCTCCTCCTCCTCTGTGCTCCACATACAGTATTTGAATCCAGGCTG